ATTCCCCAATAAAATCTTAAAAAAAAAAAGATATTGTCCAATGTAAATTTGAGACTGATTCGTGTGGCTTTGGAAGAGAATACCTCTATTCTTAGGAAATACACTGGGGTAATTAAGGCTTCAGGGCCATATGCATATAACTGCCCCCAAACGGTTTAGAGGGAAAAAAAATTGTGTGTGTGTTTGTGACTATGTGTAGGGTATTGGTGGTGGTGGGGGTGGAAGCAAATAGCCGTATCCGAGTTTAAAAGTATATAGTATTCTTTGTACTATTTTTTGTTTTCGCAACTTTTTGTAAATTTGAAATTATTTCCAGATAAAAAGTTACACAAGAGAGGCGGGGAGACTGCAGGCCGTGGCCCCACCCGCCTGCCTTACTCTCTCTGCCTACCCTCCGTCCTGGGTTCCAGCTGCATTAGGCTCTTGTGTTCCTCGCTCCAGCTCCAGCGTCTTTGCCTGTGGTGTCCACACCACCTGGGTGATGTTCCCGCAAAATGACCAACAACTGCTGTTTCCCACAGACCTCAGCAAAATGTCACCTCATCACAGAGGCCTTCCTGACAATCTAGGTTCAAGTCGGCCCTCTCCCTCACGGCACCCTCTTCTTTCTTTTTTAGTTGTGATTACAATTTTCAGTTGGGTTTCTTTTTCTAGCCCGCTAGACTCTGACACCCCAGGAAGGCAAGGCCATGGCTGCTCTGTTCGCACCCGTGTTCCCCAGAGCCGATGGGCGTGCCTAGGTAGACTCGATAAATATCCATGAACGAATGAATGACTGTGGTTGTTCTCTCAGCAGCACCAGATGTACCAGCTGAGCAGCAGTTCAAGGAGCCCCAGGTGGGATTTCACGGTCAGGTAAGACAGCATCCCCTCTCTAGCCCAACACCTGCTACCTGCAGGGCGACTAGGCCCTGGCGTCCACTGCAGCCTGGCCAAGGTGGGGGCAGCCATGCTTATGCGCAGCAGCCCCGACCTTGCCTGCACAGATGGGGATCTGCCCTTGTCTGTCTCCCCTGCAGGCTTCCCTGAGGCCCAGACCACAGCCACAGGGGAAGAGGCCTATGGGGACTGGCACCTGCAGGGTAGGGGCGGGGGCGGGGGGCGACNGCCGCCAGAGTTGGTCCCCTCCCTGTCTGTCCCTCCTGGGTCTGCTGGACTGCTTTAAGTTCCTCATTTACAAAGTGGGGGGCAGTCACAGTGACCTGGCAGGGCTAGCTCGAAGATTAAACTAGGCACCTGTGTAAAAAAGTACCTGACACTCAATAGGCATGTGACTGATTTAGCCTTTCTTCAGCCTCTTCCTCCTCCCACTCAGCACCAATCTTGGAAGAAATTCCAGTCAGAACCACAGACCCGCTCCTTCGCTTTAGATGGGGACACCCAGAGCCAGGGTGGTCCATGTGCCGTCCAAGGTCATAGAGCTAGTCGTTGACACAGCTGGTGGGCGCCTCTACTAGCTGTGTGACCTTGGGCGAGCCCCTTAACCTCTCCGAATCCCAGCTTTCTCATCTGCCAAATGGCGGTGATGATTGTATCTGTCTCAGCGGTAACCCATGTGAGGCATGCTTAAGAGATGTCATTGCTCCCACTTTAGAGGTGAGAGTACTGAGGTTCAGACGGTTAAGTGACGTGCCAAGGTTGAATTGGATACAGCTGGCAGGTCTCCCCAGCCCTCTCTTTCTCTACCCCACCCCTCTCCCCCACTGCCCGCCCCCCAAGTGTCCTCGCCACCTTCGTCTCCAGTCTGACCCCTGCTCACCTTTAGCAGGCTGAGGAGGATGAATTCATTCACCGAGAAGAGGGTCACTTGAAAGAGTGTCATGATGAGCAGCTGGATAGGGCTGACTTTGCCCAGAAGTGCCCCAAAGGCCACACAGACGGAGCCCACACAGAAGTCGGCATTGATGAGGCTGTGGGGACATAGGCAGGGGAGGGGCCCATGGGATGCGGTCTCTCAGGGCAATTTTGATAGAGGGTCTGGGCCCAGCCCCTGGAGAGTAGACACTGAGGTGTCTCTGCAGCGTTTGGCACGTGGACACCCATCCTGGAGACCCGCTGACCAGGAAGGAGAGAGAGAGAGAGAGAGAGAGAGAGAGAGAGAGAGAGAGTGAGAGTGAGAGAGAGTGTGTGTGTGTGTGTGTGTGTGTGTGGTGGGTATGTCGCGGTCGCCCCTGTACCCTGGCAGGAGCCGGCTCACAACCCCAGGGCCGCCTCCCCCGGCCGACCCCTCATCCCGGCCCCGCCCCCGGCCCCACCTCGCTCACTTCTCCACGCCCACGAGAATGTAGCCGTTATGGAAGGAGTGAAACCAGCCCTGCATGAGCAGCGCCCACTGGATGCCGAAGGCCGCCAGCAGGAAGTTGAAGCCCACGGAACTGTAGCCGTAACGCTGCAGGAAGGTCATGAGGAAGCCGAAACCCACGAAGATCATCACGTGCACATCCTGGAAGCCTGCAGGGAGAGCGCAGCCCGGGGAGATGGCGGCTCCCCGCCCCCCCTGTGTCCCACCTCACCCAGGGTGCGGACAGGAGGCTGGGCGTTAGCAATTGGGGCCAGGCTGTGGCTTCCACCCAGGGTCTCGGGTCTAGAACCCAGAGCTTCTGCTGTCCGCTCAGTCCCATTCTTTTCCTGTGGAGAAATCGGGCTCCCCTGAGCCAGGGGTCCCTTGACTGGGCAAGCACATCAGTTGGTCACCCTAAGGAGGAATGAGGGGTGTCTTCACAGGCCACCCCACTCCCAGCAAGTGCACTTTCCAGCATCACCGAGGCCTGGATTTGGACCCCAGTTCCTCCATCTGCTGGGTAGATGACTCTGGAAAGTCACTGAACAGCAGCCCTAGGTCCCAGCGCCATCTGTAACGCTTACTCACCAGTGCTGCAGAGACTAAAGCGGTTGTGTGTGTGTAAAGCACCTAGCAGTGTCCGTCCCAAGTGTCCTTGTCACTTGATTATTGTTCACTAGGCATAGTCTAATTCTGAGTTCTGACTGGGCTCTTCTACCAGCTCACAGTGCGGGCCCCTAATAAGCCACGCCCCTTCCTTAAGCCTCAGTTTTCTCAACGATAAAACAAAAGGAAGGCATTAGAATTGTCTTCCCTGCCCTCCCAGGGCTGACAGTTGCATGGTTCTATAGTAGATTCCCAGAAAATAACAGAAGGCAAAGAGCTTTGAGAAGCAAAGTCAGCTACAAAAGTCTCAGGCACGAAGAAGAAGGAACCACAGGCGTCCCAGGACGCGGGGGCCAGATCGGAGGGCTCCCCTGGGCCAAACTGGGGACAATTTGAGCGTGAAAATAATTGCATACTGTAATGAATTAGAACCGTGCGTAATAGGAACACAGAAAAAGTAAAAAAATAAATGAGCGACAGGGAGGGCTCTAGCTTAAAACAATGCTGAGGGCCCAACTGTTAAATATGGACTGAACACTGAAGTTGGAAAATTGTGCTTTCAACCGTCAGGGTTCCTTCACTGGGTACTAAATCCAGGGACACATTTTGATGAAGAGCAGGACATTTGCGTGGCCTGAAAAAGTCTCCACTTTTAAGACAAGTGGCAAGGGAGGGAAAAAATACCCCAGTCATGATACAGTGGAGAAACTGGGCAACATTTTGACCGGGTGATCAAAGTGAATGTCACCAGTGAGGGACAGATGGACACTGTGCACCTTCAGGTGAGTACTCTGAAGAGGACATTTCACCTGTATGGCATTCCCACTGAGAACGTATAATCCCATTCTAATTCTGAGGAAACATCAAACACAAAATGAGGAACATGCTAGTAGAGAGGGGTGACAAACG